ATTTAAAATGAGTGGTTCACTTCAACATTTAGAAATGGTATGAACTAAACACACTTTTGATTTATCAAGATATTGTAAAATAGTAATGATAATATAAAAGAAGAGTGTTCTTTCAATTGATTACTTCAGGATACAATTAGACAGTCTCTGGATGAGCTAATTTGTATTTCTGGATTCAAATCAATGAAATAACAGTTCCTGTCCCATGAAGGCCCTCAGAGGCAGGTTTTGGTCGGAGGCTGAGTTCACTACACAGTACTGTCTCAAGAAGATGTTGAAGACGTTTACATATTTGGACTTATGATAGCAGGGACTCTGCTTTTTGGCATCGGCGGGGCTCTATTTCATCGACTTTTGAAAAAGACAGCGGGAGCAGTTTTGGCCATGGAAAAGCTTCAGAGTCAGTGTGAAGGTCTGGTCCATGCTGTGGGAACTTTAAATCGTCTGGTTCTATGAGCTTAACCATAAGGTGGAGGCGATTGAGAATCGCAGACCACCTGCGGCTTCTGGGACTCGTCAGCGTGGTGGGTTCGACCTTGAAGGAGACTCATAGCATGGATCAGTGAAATGAAATTCCACAATTAGGCTTTTTCGGAACCAGAACGCGCAGATGGACTCAAGGCTGAAGAAAAAAATCTGTCTGCCTGAAGGAAAACAAAAATTAAGCTTATCTAATCTGACTCCCAATGGCCTCGGAGACAGGCTGACTATCAAATTTCTCCTGGGACATGAGTACCCAAGGAAAAAAGCTTCATCTATCCACTAGTACTTCCATTGGTTGCTGCCATAACATGCACTAATGACCTTCAGGCCAGAGCCCCTAAATGCAGTATCTACATTGATCAAGGCCCATTCAGATTCCATGTCCCCGGCATCACCCGGGCCATTTGAAAAACTCTCCTAGAAGTGTGAATTGAAGATTGATGGGGCTACATCAGATGTGACTACTTCACCTTCACTATGTTAAAAAAAATAGCACAACTTAAAACTTCTTTAGTTTCTTCACATAGGGCAGTGAGCATTTGTTTAAATAAATGTGGGAATCAAATTGTTTGAAGATCATTACATGTTGTTAACATTAAATATGGCATGACAGCTTTGTAGACACAGGGTGTAAAAATATTGGTACAGTTTATGTTGGTCATTTATGTGTCAACCTTTCCAGCTTGTATCCTCCCTCTCACCCAGTGACTGCTGAGATAGTCACCAGCTACCCTGCAACTAGCTTAGAGTATTTTATAGAAAATCCTCTTAATTTAGAATCTAACTCAATTTTTTCCTTGTTGTGACTGAATAAGATTGACATCATTACTAGTGAGTGGGACTTGCAGATGTTTTTTCACCTCAAAGTTTGAATGACTTTTTTTTTCTCAACTCAAAAGGGGAAAAATTGAAATTCTAAATTTATTTTCACAGCTTAAAAGTTAACAAATTACTATGTGAACTTGACATTAAGTTTGTTTTATTTGTAAAACAATTGTGCAGTGACAGAGACTTTCCCTCTTGTAGAACAAAGCTGCTTGGCTGCACTCTTGAACATGACGGGAAAAGCAGTGCACACTAAAGTGATGGCAAGTCCTAGTGTCTGACATTTTGATTAAACTGTTGCTACACAATTTAAAATGTAAAAAAAAAAAAAAAATCAAACAAAGTCAAAAGACAAAGTTTGTATGTGTGTGGGGGTTTTTGTGCAACCGTTTTCAAAAAGACAATAAATCTTGTGATGTATTGATCTTATTCCTTACTTCATTACCTTGATAGGTCTGACAGGATCCTGTTGGGTTTGCTGGGATGTTTGGTGGTGCGGTTGGTGCTGTGGCTGGTGGTGGGAACAGTAAACCTGCTGCTGATGATGATGCAGGTGAAGTTGTGGCTGCTGGTGTGGAGCTTGATGGAGGTCTGTCTGATGGCTGTAGCATTGCTGTAGTTGTTGCTGTAAATGCTGCGGATGACTGTATTGTTGCTGTTGATGCTGCAGATATTGAAGATTTTGTGCTTTGTTTATGTCTCTATGAGTCTCCACCAGGCCTTCTTCCCGTCTTCCACGTCCTCTACCCCGCCCACGTCCTCTTTTTGTTTCTCCAGCCACTGATCCCATCAACCCTCTGCAGTATGAAGGTTCAGGAAGAGGACGTATGCGTGGTCTACCTCGTGGCCGAGGGGGACCTTCACGCTTTGGTTTAGTTGGTTTCCTGCCTCTTTTCTTAGGACCATCGTGGGGGAGGATTTGAGATTGATGCTCAAAGGAAGTGTAGCTGGATGGGTGGCAGAAGTCCATGTCACCAATTACTGGACTGACTCCACATATTCCAGAGGTGCCACCTGCCTTCCTACAACTAGACACCAGGTCAGGCAACAAGTCTGGAAGGCGTCGGCTATTGAGGCGAATATCTGCTGGAGCATCAGCCTTATCTTCATCGTCCTCAAATTCATACTCTTGTGCATAATTTTTCTTTGTTTGAGGTTGTGGCTCACGTCGCTGTTTAAGCAGGTGAAATGAGCTGGTCTTCAATAATTTCTTCGGTCGTGAGGAACAGAAGATAGGTGAAGTCAGACTACTGGTGTTGGAACTTCCAGCTACAGCTCCCATCATCTTGTTAGCTGAGCCATTCCCTTGAGCTGCTGAACCCAGTCCCATAGTTGGAGTATGGGACTGGATAAGGCCAAGCTGGTCAGTATTCACAGTAGAAGGAAGTTCATGAGACTTCAATGGGTCAAGATCTAAATGGAGGTTAGCATTTCCTGTTTCTGGAAGGCTGCGGCAGTACTCTCCATAACCTTGATCACTGTGATGACTAACCATATCATATCCCTCTCCAGCACCTCTAGCTTGTAATGCTTCTATACGCTCTTGTGCCCTCATGTGACTCTGACTAAGGTTTTCTTGAATGTCCTGTACTGCCCCAGAATCCCCAGTACAGCTTGACTTGTAATCAGCAGAACAGAACATGTCCTCCATATCAGGAAAGAATGAACGGTCTTCATCTTGTAGGAGGGAATCAGGAAAGCAAATTGAGGTTACAGGTGGGAATTGTTGCTGAGCTTGAATCTGTCTTATTTTATCGACTGGGCTCATTGTGTCAAACTCGTGCATTTTGTGCGAGTTCAGCTGTGAAATTATGTGTTGTGTTTCATTATCTCTAGTTTGGCTTTGATGCTGTTGTTGGGGAGTCTCCATATTGGATAAGAACTGGTGCGGATGTGGATGAGATAACTGTGCCTGATGGTGATTGTGTGTGTGTTGTTCATGCAGCATGTGGGAGTGTGTGTGGGTTGGAGGCTGACTGAGGTGGTGAAGGTGTGAAGGTGCTGATACACCCAAATCTGGTTCAGAAAGAAAATTTTGAAGATCTGAAGCTTTCTGTTGGGAATGATGGTGAGATGTAAGTCTATGCTGCTGTCTGTGTCTGTTTCCACCATTGTCCCCCCCTACTGGAACAGTCACACCAACTCTAATTCTGTCCAGTGGTCCACTACTGTCTAAGCCACTTCCTTGGGAAACAGATTGCTCTAGCATGTCCAGAGGAGACAATGAGTTTTGACTGCCTTGAATTTGATCTCTTGTTCGGGATGCAAGACTGTAGTGGGTGTCTACACAATGGTTTTGGAGCTTGAGCTGCAATTCAGAAGACTGGATTTGTGAATGGGATTCCACTCCACCTCTCATCATGCTCTGCTGACTCAAAGAGTGATGTTGTTGCTGCTGCTGCTGGTGCTGGGTTAATACTTGCTGAGGGTCCATCTTTGTGTGAGTGGTGTGAGAAAGCACAGTCTGTAGCATGTGCGTTGACTGAGGGAGCTCTGGTGATGAATCCATCAAAGAGAGGCTTCCCTGGCTTTGCTGAGCCTGCTGTACGTCTGGAGTATTACACAAATAGCCTCTGTCATTTGTGTTTGAAAGTTTCTTTAGCTCCATGTGGGAGTGGCTGTGTGAGTGGGAAACCTGATGAAGATGTTGAGAGTGTTGTGAATGTTGAGTGTGTCGGGCGTGCTGAGAAATTTGTTGTGTGCATGGCTGAGAATGTGAGGACATGTGTGAGGTGTGATGTGGATATTGGGAGTGGGGGTGCTGTGTATAAGGGTCTCCTCTTCCATAATGGACACTCGAGCCCAAAGACTTGTGCTGCTGTTGGTGAGACTTGGTATTATGGGAATGTGAAAGGGATTCAGAAACCACATGCACTCCTTCAGTAGAGACCAACTCTGACTCGGTTTGTTGTTTTTTCTGAGACATTTCTAATTGTCTATTTAGGCCACTTGTTTCACTAAGTGCTGTTGTAGGACCAGAAGTGTTGGTGGAAGTAGTGGTACAAATGACACTATGGGTGTGGTATCGCTCATCTGAAAGCCTGTTAATATCATAAGTTATTGCTTTGTCTTCCTCATCCTTAGCCTGTGAGAAAGATTGGGGTAGTTGTTGGGAATGTGACTGGTGCTGAGAAATCTGAGGGTTTGAGGTCTGTGTGTGTAGTAAGTGTTGGATTAAGAATTCATCAGCAACTTCTTCCTCATGTTGAGAGCATTCAGCTGCCACCAAGCTTTTCTCTGTTTTTGGCTTGGTTGCTGTTGAGTGATAGGACTCGGTTTGAGACTGTCTTGTATCAGGGAAAGTTTGTGGTGAAGGCAGGAATGCAGGAGATAGTATAGAGGACATATATTTTGTGGTCCCTGAGCTTCCAGGGGACTGTGCAGGATGAACAGTAGATGAAGACTGCAATGACGAATGATTGAGAGTAGAATTGAGAGAAGGTGATGTATTTGACTCGGGCAGGTGGTAAGAGTTAGTGTTTTCATTACCACCAACATTCTTGCTTTCCGATCCTACAGATAGAACTTCATTTTCATGTGTTGCTGCTCCTGATATGGGTCCACTCCTTGCTGATTCAGACCCATACCGTAAGCATGGACTGCTTTCTTTTCTGAGAGAAGCCGAGTCAAAACTTGAGTCCTCAAATACTATTTCTGCAGAGAAGGAGTGCCCTCCTGCACCTATACTAGTGTAAGCTTTCACCCCAGTAAGGCCAGCTCCAGAATTTAAGTCCTTGGCTTGAGGTGAACTGAATCCTATGAAGGGCTGGGTCATGTGTGAAGATGAAGGAATACCGGGAGAATAAGACTGATCATGGGGCTGGGGAGGTGTCTGGTCTGATAGGCCACTGCTAGAATTGGCCACAGACTGAGAACCATAGTTAGACTGGCATTGTTTGGCAGCAGGTTGTTGGACACAGCTAGATGACGCCACTGCCAGAGGAGGTGGTGCTGGGGCTGAGTGAGGTGGTGGCTGCTGAAAAGGCGTAGCAGGCAAAGAACCGCTGCTTGTCTTGGAACTAGAGGATGTGGATAAGGCTGATGGGGGTGTATGCGGGACACGAGAAGAGGAAGATACTGAGCTAGACGAGGAGTAGCCACTTGTGGAGCTGGTGGAACTCTTTGGTCCTTTTGTGGCAGAAGAAGAGGATGCTGAGGAACAGGAGGAGGAGGGTGCATAGGCAGTTTGAATAATTGGTTGATATGTTTGGGATTCCATTTGCAGTGATGGTTTAAGGTCAGTGGGTGGACTTTGTTCTCCCAAGGGACTGCAGGACATTCCAGCTTGGTGGTGGTGACTGACTATCTGCTGATAGCCAGACAATTCACCATAGCTGGCAAACTGCTGTAGGGCTGAGGAATGAGCTGGGGATGAACTTTGGTAATGCTTGATCACACTGTCCTGTCGGGAAACTGCCCTCTCTGGAGTAAGTTGTAGTTGGTGGTGTGTTGCAGGTGGCATGCCTGGGGTGGAGGAGAACATGGAGGCATTATATAGCTGAGATGATTGGTTATGAAGCTGGGAGGACAACAAGTTGAACTGAGGCAGGGGCAGGTGGCAACTGGAGGAGGTAGGAGGACCTTGGGTTTGAGGAGGGGCTGGGGACTCCTGGGAGCCCCTGTATGTGGCACTCTGAGAAGACAGCAAGCGGTCAAAGCCTAAGGTGGTCTGAGATGGTGCTTTAATGGGCAGCAGAGGATCATGTGGGGATAGCAAACCATTAGCAGTTGGGCTAAATGTGTGGGCATCATGTAAGGACAGAGAGTGATTGAATGACCGTCCAGAAAAGGAGCCAGGATGTTGGTATGCAGAGATGGATGAGGAGGCAGGGAAGGATCCAGAACCTGGGAGTGCCCTTGAAATAAAGAGTTCCGCAGGGGCTGGTGTATGCATGGCTGCAGGACACAACATTAAACACACAGTTACATTTAACCAACAGACAATTCATCTTTTTTTTCCCCATTTTTTATGTGTATGTATAAGATTTGAATTTATTTATTAAGTATTCACATCCCTTGAGCTTTTCCAAATTTGTCATATACAAACACAAACTTTAACATATTTTTTTACATGGATTTTATGCGAAAGACCAATACAAAGTGGTGCATAACTGTGAAGTTAAAGAAAATTGATAAATGGTTTTGCCTTCAGAAGTCACCTATTATAAAACAGAGTCCAGCTGTGTGGAATTTAACTTCAGTATGAATACGGCTGTTCTGTGAAGGCCTGAGAAGTTCGTTAGTTAGTTAGTCAAACAGCATAATGAAGACCAAGGAAAACACCAGGTTTAAGAAGTTTAAAGAAGGTTTATGGGTGGTTTTGGTTGACTAATTAGATTACTTTTGAAGGTAATTGGTTACTCTGAATTTTAGTTTGGACTAGCAGAGTGAAAGGGGTCAACATAAATACACGCCATAATTTTCAGATTTTTATTTATAAAAAGGAACATGAAAATGTAGCATTTTCCATCATCTTCATAATTAGGATCTACTATCACATAAAATCCCAGTGAAATACAAAGTTTGTTTTCTCAGTCATCCAGGTATATAACAACAAAAAAGGTTGAATCATGTCATCTGGACTTCGTTTTTTGTTAAAAAGAAACGTTTCGCCCCTCGTCCAAGAGGCTTCGTCAGTCTGAGGCCTAGCCATCTGGTATTACCCAGAAGCCACCCTGACTCTTGTGTTTCAAGCCTGCCTCAGATACCCCTGAGGTCTGGCCTTTTCACTAATGGTTTCAAAAACACAAAGTTTGTTTTCTCAGTCATCCAGGTATATAACAACAAAAAAGGTTGAATCATGTCATCTGGACTTCGTTTTTTTGTTAAAAAGAAACGTTTCGCCCCTCGTCCAAGAGGCTTCGTCAGTCTGAGGCCTAGCCATCTGGTATTACCCAGAAGCCACCCTGACTCTTGTGTTTCAAGCCTGCCTCAGATACCCCTGAGGTCTGGCCTTTTCACTAATGGTTTCAAAAACACAAAGTTTGTTTTCTCAGTCATCCAGGTATATAACAACAAAAAAGGTTGAATCATGTCATCTGGACTTCGTTTTTTGTGAAATAGTTTGATGTTTGTGATTGTAACATGACATATGTAGAAAAGTTTAAAGTATATGAAGACTTTTTGGAGGCACTGTAATTTTGAAAATACATATAATATTTACAGTTTTATAATAAACACTTACCAGTCTGCCATGATGGAGTCCGAAACTGCGAAAGGAGGGAGGAAGCAGAGGGTGTTGGCTGTGGACCCCGAGACTCCAGAGCTGAAATTAGATTCATGACAGAGGAGTCGGGACCTGAGGGGCTTGCATGGTGGAGACTGGTGTCAAATAGCCCTGACAGACCTGGCAGAATGACAAAGCATTAACATCATCACACACTTCCCTGTCTTAAACTTTTACTTCACTTTCTGTACAAATATTCTAAGGTAGATTAAGAGTAACTGAATAGTTTGTAGCGCTTGTTTGTTTATGAAACAAAATTGTGATAACAATATCCTGATGCATGCTCAAACTCATTATGATTGTCATCATAATGTGATGACAATATTTTACATCTTGTCTTACTGCACAAACCACACATCTACATATTCCATCAGTAAAAAAAAAGTGCAGTGTGGTAAAAAAAATATATTTTGAAACATTGATTGGTACATCTGTCTAAAAAAGCAATGTGCAACACTTGGAAATTAACTGATAGTTTTAGGCCCTGGTTCACTTAAGATGGTTGCCACAGCTAGTCAAACTTAAAAACACAAAATGACCATAACACCACTGGTTTTACTTTTTTTTTTCTTCTTCTTCTTCGCGTGAGAGGAGTGTGAGTGGAAGAGCAGAAAGTGAGAGTGTGCATTCATTCGTTTTTTTCTGTCCCTTTTCTACTTTTTTTCACTGGGTGTTTATGTTTGTTTATGTTAGTTATTTAATTGTGGGGTTTGGTGTTTTATTAGTTTAAAAAGTTTGTTTGATGGGGTGTGGCCATCAGGTGCACCTGGCTAGCCAACTCCATGATGGCAGGAGGTCTGGGAGAATTCTCCACGCTGACACGGAGAAACGGCATCAAGGTGGGTGCTGGCTCTGCGTGCAGCGTGGAGGAAGTTTGTTAGGCGGTGGGGGAGGTGGTTGGACACGAGTCCATCAAGTCCGCAGCCCGCATGAACGGGGCTGTGGTTCTTTTTGTTGATAGCGTGGAGAAAGCTCGGCAGCTGGTCGGGGCTGGCATCTCAGTGGGTGATTTATTTTTGCAGGTGTCGCCACTGATGCTGCCAGCCACGAAGATAACTCTGTCTAATGTCCCCCCGTTTATTAGTGACGAGTTCTTAATCAAGGAATTGTCCAGACATGGGAAGGTGGTGTCCCCGATTAAAAAAATCTTGACGGGGTGTAAATCACCACTTCTGAAACACGTTGTCTCACACAGGAGACAACTGTTTATGGTCCTGAACAAGCGGGGGGAAGAGTTTAATGTTAGGTTTCACGTTAAACTTGATGATTTTGAATATATTTTATTCGCTACTTCTGCAAATATGAAATGTTTTGGATGTGGCCAGGAGGGACGCGTAGTTAAAATGTGCCCAAACAGGGCCGGGCCGGCTCCGCCCGCTGCTGCGGGAGACCCCCCGGCTGCCGCGGGTCCCCCTCCCGCCACTGCTGCGGGGGCACCCCCCGGCAGCCGCAGGTCCCTCTCGCTGCTCCTGCGAGAGACCCCTCGGCTGCCGTGGGTCCCCCTCCTGCAGCTGCAGCGGGTCCGCGGCCCCCGCTGATGGGGATCGTATTGGTGTTGAGTTGCCAGCTGTGGGTAGGGAAGCAACAAGTGTGTGTGGGGATGAAGGTGACAGCATGGAGGTGTGTGGTGGGGAGAATGGTGGTGTTGTGGATGGTGAGGAGGAGGCTCGGGGGGAAGTGGGGGAGAGAAACGGAGAGCGAGGAGTGCAGGAGGGTGATGAGGAGTTAGTGTGTGGTGATGGGGAAGGGAAAGGAGAGGTGGAGGTGAATGGGGCAATAAAAGGTGCAGGAAAGAAAAGTGAGGGGTCATGAGCTGGTGTGGAGGGAGAAGCAGGGGCGGTTGTAGAGGAGATGGGGGCCCCAACCCAGGTGAAGAAACGAGGGAAAAGAAAAAATGTTGAAGTTGCTACACGGGCCAGCAAAATGTGTGCAGAGATGAGGGAGGGAGTGGAGAGCAGTGACAGTGAGGGCTGGTGCTCTGACTTCAGTGAAGTCTCTGTGTCACAGGCTGACTGCACTGAACTCTGTTACCCTTTGGAGACCTTCCTGTCTTTCCTCAAACAAACAAAAGAGCTGAGAGGAGTTAAAATTGAAAGATACTTTCCGAACATGAGAACGTTTTATGACTCAGCCAGGCATTACATAAGGCACAAAGCAGAATCTGGGTTCACCGAACAAGAAACATTCAGACTAAAGAAAATAATGAGCAAAGTCGGAAAACAATTCTGAACAAATGATGAACACCTGCATTTTAATATTTCTTATAGTCTTTTTGTACCTGGTTTTAAACCTCTCACTCAACATGGATTATTTTAAAATAGCATCTTTAAACATCAACGGAGCTAGAGAGGCTGTGAAGCGTGCACTGGTTTACCAAACCATTAACTATAAAAAAATTGACGTTCTGGTTTTACAAGAGACACACAGTGATCCATCAAATGAGACAGGGTGGTGCAGAGAGTAGGAAGGGGAGGCCATGTTTAGCCACGGCACATCCCAGAGTGCAGGAGTGGGACTCCTCTTCTCTAAAGCTTTCACTCCCAGCCACATACAGTGCCTTGCGAAAGTATTCGGCCCCCTTGAACTTTTCAACCTTTTGCCACATTTCAGGCTTCAAACATAAATATATAAAATTTAAATTTTTTGTGAAGAATCAACAACAAGTGGGACACGATCGTGAAGTGGAATGACATTTATTGGATGTGTCAAACTTTTTTAACAAATAAAAAAGTGAAAAGTGGGGCGTGCAATATTATTCGGCCCCCTTGCGTTAATACATTGTAGCGCTGCCTTTTGCTGCAATTACAGCTGCAAGTCTCTTGGGGTATGTCTCTATCAGTTTTGCACATGGAGACACTGAAATTCTTGCCCATTCTTCCTTGCAAAACAGCTCGATCTCAGTGAGGTTGGATGGAGAGCGTTTGTGAACAGCAGTCTTCAGCTCTTTCCACAGATTCTTGATTGGATTCAGGTCTGGACTTTGACTCGGCCATTCCAACACCTGGTTACGGTTATTTGTGAACCATTCCATTGTAGATTTGGCTTTATGTTTTGGATCCTTGTCTTGTTGGAAGATAAATCTCCATCCCAGTCTCAGGTCTCTTGCAGACTCAAACAGGTTTTCTTCCAGAATGGTCCTGTATTTGGCCCCATCCATCTTCCCATCAATTCTGACCACCTTCCCTGTCCCTGCTGACGAAAAGCAGACCCAAACCATGATGCTGCCACCACCATGTTTGACAGTGGGGATGGTGCATTCAGGGTAATGAGCTGTGTTGCTTTTACGCCAAACATATTGTTTTGCATTGTGGCCAAACAGTTCGATTTTGGTTTCATCTGACCAGAGCACCTTCTTCCACATGTTTGGTGTGTCTCCCAGGTGACTTGTGACAAACTTTAAACGACACTTTTTATGGATATCTTTGAGAAATGGCTTTCTTCTTGCCACTCTTCCATAAAGGCCAGATTTGTGCAGTGTACGACTGATTGTTGTCCTATGGACAGATTCTCCCACCTCAGCTGTAGATCTCTGCAGTTCATCCAGAGTGATCATGGGCCTCTTGGCTGCATCTCTGATCAGTCTTCTCCTTGTTCGAGATGAAAGTTTAAATGGACGGCCGGGTCTTGGTAGATTTGCAGTGGTCTGATACTCCTTCCATTTCAATATGATTGCTTGCACAGTGCTCCTTGGGATGTTTAAAGCTTGGGAAATCTTTTTGTATCCAAAGCCGGCTTTAAACTTCTCCACAACAGTATCTCGGACCTGACTGGAGTGTTCCTTGGTCTTCATGATGCTCTCTGCTCTTTGAACAGAACCCTGAGACTATCACAGAGCAGGTACATTTATACGAAGACTTGATTACACACAGGTATTTATCATCATCAGTCATTTGGGACAACATTGGATCATTCATAGATCCTCACTGAACTTCTGGAGTGAGTTTGCTGCACTGAAAGTAAAGGGGCCGAATAATATTGCACGCCCCACTTTTCAGTTTTTCATTTGTTAAAAAAGTTTGACACATCCAATAAATTTCATTCCACTTCAAGATTGTGTCCCACTTGTTGTTGATTCTTCACAAAAAATTAAATTTTATATCTTTATGTTTGAAGCCTGAAATGTGGCAAAAGGTTGAAAAGTTCAAGGGGGACGCATACTTTCGCAAGGCACAGTAGAGGTGCAACACATAGTTCATGGAAGGTGTCTTTTAGTCAAAGCTGGGTTTGAACATTTTAACGTAACTTTTATTAATATTTATGCTCGCACTGCCAATGCAGAGAAACAACGTTTTTTAGATAAAATTGGGGAAAGGTTGTGAGATTGTGGGTCTGAGGATTATGTTTTTATAGGTGGGGATTTTAATTGTACTGAAAATGAGTTTTTAGACCGCAATCATGCAGAGCCTCATCCAGCAGCCCAGCGCGCACTGCGGCAGCTGGTCTCGTCTCATGGCCTGGTGGATGTATGGAGGAGGATGCACGCAGGCTCCAGGCAGTACACGTGGTCCCACCTTAAATAAAACCGTATCTCTTTAGCTCGTCTTGACTGTTTTTATTGTTTTAAACACCATTTTAACGTGTTTAGAGCATGCCAGATTTTACCTGTGGCTTTTACAGATCACTCGTTGCTTTTAGGTAGTGTTTTTATCAGAAACATTTTACCAAGAAGCGCTTACTGGCATTTTAATTCGGTTTTAACTCATGACCAAAGCTTTAAAGAGACTCTTAAGTTATTTTTGGACTGCTTTTAGACAGAAGAAGAATGATTTTACCTGTCTGAAGCAATGGTGGGACTACGAGAAAGTTCAAATAAAACAGCTGTGTCAACAGCACACTCTCAATGTTACTCGTGACATTACCAGATCTATCAGAGATCTGGAGATTAATATAGTGGATTTAGAACAACTGAGTGAATCCACAGGAAATCGAGAGCATATTGAAGCTCTCAAATCCAAGAAGCTAGTCTTAGCAAATCTGCTGGAAACTAAAGTCCAAGGCGTGTTGGTCAGGTCCCGGATCCAAAACATCACAGAGATGGATGCTCCTTCTAGCTTTTTCTTCAGCTTGGAGAGGAAACATGGGCAGAGGAAGATGATCTACTCTCTGCCGTCAGATGCAGG